CATCGTAAGGGATCAGGTGCGGGCATGCTTATTGTCCTTGTCATGCAGCCATTTGAGCGGGAAGCTTTGGATTTATTCCTCACTTCAGTCATAAATGAATTACTGTAGTAGTCCGAGGCTTGGCACCTCGGACCTATCCTTACAAATCCACAGCTCAAAGAACCCAAAATTCAGACAAGGAATTCGAAATTCACAAAATTGAATACAAAATGTTTGCCAGTTCAGAGATTGATTGAGGGCTTAAACTCACTATCGATGCATGCTAGATACGATCAACATGAACAATGATCTGAGGAACAAAAAAAGGGAAATAGATCGCCAATGTATAAGCGCTTTCGTCAAAAACAAGAAAAAGGAAGGAGCTTTGAGGGGGGCTATGGACTATGGAGAGAGAAAAATTGGATTACAAAGCTTGAGAGAGAATTCCGCGAAGAAGGAAAGGAGGCAAAATCAGAGGAAAAATAAAATATTTATGATAAATGATAATATTATTTAAATTTTTTAAATAATATCATTTAAAATGGATTTCTGTATTGTTTTTATTTAAAAAGAAAAAAAAATAGTAAAGTTTCTTCGTTTCAGGATGCACGTCCTTCAACCCCGATCCACCTTCTGGCGTCTGGTGCAACAAGGTGGAATTAGCTGAACTGAAACCATTGTTGTCTTTATTTCAAACTCACTATCGTATATATTTTTTTTCTACATCATTCTGAAATAGATTAATTTTCTTAAATACTAAGAAGGTATCTGAACCAACGAAGGGTTGGATCAAGTGGCAAGCGGCTTATTCTAGCTTAAGCAAGGTTTCAAGTTCGAAACCTTGTGTACGCAACAGTCTTCGTTGGAAGACCCACCCACCATTCTTGTGCGCCACAGCTGGTCGAGTCCGAAGTAGTTGGGGCGAAGCCCCGGATAACAGGCGGGAAACCAAAAAAAAGAAGGTATATGAGAAAAATTAAAAATTAATTTGTTCTTAAATTTTTCTATTGTAAATTTATAAATTTGTTGAAGAAAAATTTTAAAATTAATTTTTAAAATAACTTTTAAATAAGTTTTGAGAAAGTTAAATTTTAAAAATTTTTTAATGTGTGTCTTTAAAAATATAATTAATACATATTTTAGTTACTAATTCATATTAAAAAAATTAAAATTTTAATTTATCAATTATTTAATAAAAATTATATAAATGACATTGGTGCTAAAATTAATTTAAGCTTTTACTCTTTTTTTTTTTTTTTCCTGAATATGGGGAATTAGGGATGAAGTTAAAATTTTCAAGTACTTGATGGGAGAAGAACTCTTAACTAACTGAATTTAAATATCAAAGTTTAAGATAAATTAGAAGACTCAATTGACTAATTCAAGTTTTTATATTTTTTTATGCAAATTAAAGGTTGAAAAGTGTATTGATTATACTTTAAGTGAGAATAATCCTTTTTTAAAATTTATTTAAAAGTTATTATTTGTTAAAAATTAATTTTTGAATTTTGTTCTCATAAATTTTTAAATCTGTAAGAAAAATTTACTTTTTAAAATAAACAATTATCCTAAACATCCTCTAACTTCAAAATATAAAGTCATAACATGTTGTCCTATAAAACCACACTTGGAAAGTCTTTAGTAAAGTTTAAATAAAAAAAACACTTTCTCTAATAATATATTTAGATTAAAGGAAATCAAAAAGTAGAAGGGAAGGAGAAGTTATTCTTCTAATTTTTTATAATAAAAAAGTACTTTCTCTAAGCTTGAAAAGTGTACTAATTATATCTTAAGTTAAAATAACTCATTTTTAAAATATACTTAAAAGTTATTATACTTTCAAAATTAATTTTTGAATTTTTTTGGATAAATTTTTAAATTTGTCAGAGAAATTTACTTTTTAAAGTAAATTGTTCTACTAAACATACTCTAACTTTAAAACTCAAAGTCTAAATATGTTGTTTTATAAAACTACACTTAGAAAGTCTTTGGTAAAGTTAAAAATAATATTTCTTTTAATAGTATGTTTAAGTTAAAGGAAAATGGAAAGGATAGGAGGGAAGGAAAATTTTGTTTTTCTAATTCTTTTATAATCAAATAAAGGAATTGTTTTTCCTTCCATTCTTTGCCCTTTTTTCCATTTACTTTAATCCAAATATATTGTAAAAATAAATTTTTCTCTCATAAATTTAAAATTTTATTAAAAATTTTGAAAAAATTTAAATGTATAGATTTCAAAATTTGCCCTGTAGTTACAACCATTCACTTATTTTAAATTTTTGAAAATTTTGAAATTAGAAAAGGTGAATTATTTTGTTGTGGTGGGAAGGGAGGTGGTCCCAAATTGATTTAATATGGTTGTTTGGGAATGAATTGTTCCTTGACTCTTTAGTATATTAAGAAATTGGCATTTCTATTAACAAGATTGCCCTGTAGAGGTGGGTAAGGAATCATGTGGCACATCGCGTTAAATGTACGTGTGGGGGTGAAGTTTGGGACTTAATTGTCAATAAGAAATATGTCTGGAGGTGTTTTCGTCAACCAATAACATATTCATTTAGGCGCTTTGGAATTTGGACTTTGATGTGTGTTTGACACTTAAAGTGTACACGGCTTTGAAATTGGACCATTTCCTAACTTGAATCTTGATCACAAGTCGGTTTGAGGTTGTATGGTAATGAAAACTAGTTTGTATAATCCGGTCAATAATTAAATATCACGGTTTTTATAGTTTATATTTAGTATATATGTATTAATAGTTTTTTTTAATGAGCTAAAATTAATTACATATTTAAGTAATTAAGGAATGAGAAAATAAGATGAATGAGATTCAAGAGATATAAACACCTACTCACAGGAGGTGATTCGCATTAATTCAAGGTCAAAGCCACTAGACTAGAGTGTGGGGATCATTAATAATTTAATAGTTGATTGTTGTTAAAATTATAATTATAATTTTTTTATTCCTTTGATTAGAAAAAATAGTTAAAAGATATTTTAAAATTGGTAATTTAAATTTGTTATTTAAAGTATATTAATTAAGAAGGTTTTTAATTTTAATTGAATTTGTAATGGAATTTTATTTATTTAATTTTTGCAAGAGGCATTATTGAAAGTTCTAGTGTACTTACTAAGTTGAGTTATGGTGTTTGTGCATGAGAAATTTAAATAATGATTCATAATTTTTTAACATAGTGAAATGAATCTTTAATTTAATTATAAAATTGATAATATTAATTTTTTTAAAAAATATTTAAACTTACATGGCAATATTTTTTAGGCTTTTTTGTTTATTGGGTTTGTTTTTTACTGGGTTGTTTTACAGTATTAGGATGCCTTTTAGATTGCCTCCATATATTGTACTATTTTTTAGAGTGGCCATAAATATTTTTATATAAGCTGGTACATCGATCGTATTATGATTTTTTAAGTTTTCATGTTCTTTCTATTCCTAATTGAACATTGAAGGTTAGATTTGAAAAAACTTATCTATCCTTTAATTTTTGTTTACTTATAGATGTTCTTTATTTAAAAATGACTTTTATTTTCGTTTATGGATGTATTAGTGCATTATTTTAGCTTTCAAATCTATTCTCTAAGGGATAAATGACTTAAATCTTATTGAGTTGTCTTAGGCAAATATGGTTAGTCCTAGCCTTCAAAATTTCTATTAAAACCCCTTCTAATCCCTGTCAATTTGACTAGATAGAAAAAATCTAAGATCTAATGAGAGAGGGGAAAAAAGGGAAAACAATTTTGCCCCCTTTTGTCATGTCTTCTTTTGGTGGTCATTAATTTATGAGACCTACTAAAATCTTTTAATTCAACCACTCTTTAAAATAAAGACCAAGCCTCTAATATGAATTTATCTACAAGTTTATGCAAAGATTTTCCTTCATTTTCCTTAGGAATTCTTTCAAGATTAATAAGTTTTATGGGTTTGAATTATTATGCTAAAGTTACAACACATAAAACTAAGTAATTCCATTTTGCTCTTAAGCTTCTCAATTCCTTGAAAAGTTTGAGTTAAATGGCATAGTTTGTTCATCACTTTATTGAACCATCCACTACTATCTTGAAATCATTTCAAATATACTCTCTTTTTCAACTATAGTGTTATTCCAAAAAATAAAATAAAACTCAACAACTCTAAAGCTATGTCGTATAAGAAACTCTATTTGTAACAGTTTCATCTAATGGTTTTTAAACCAATTGGCCTAGAAAACACTAAAAAAAATTGTTCCTCATCAATTCTCAAGAGTCCACTTGCACGAGCCACCACCTTGATGGTTGATGGAATTTAATTTCATTTCATGGTCTGATAAATGTCCAAAAAAATCTTACCATGCTAGGATAAAAATAGGAAAGCATGTAAGGGACGTGTTGTTATAAAATTACATGATAAAAAGAAATCTACAAATTAAGTGATATAAACAAATTACTCCAAAAAAGATTGATTTCTTGCCAAAAGCCTAAAATATTTCAAAACCCATCTTAATGACTTTACATGGAAGACTAAATCCATCTACAAACACAAAATCAAGATTCAATTATATGATAAAAGATTTCAAACTAAGAACCCATCAATTTTTGAAGAATTTTGAAAGAAAATTAGACATAGAAGAAGATTTATATCGAAGTCTCAGTCTTTAAATAAGTGAATAGTGTTATCAAATAAGCAGGGAATTATTTTGTATGTCATCAAAGATGAGAAGGATTTTGGCATTGGTATAGGTCAAGTTAGAGAAGGGGCAAACATGTTAATTTATTGAGGTGCACTAATTTATTGAAAAGCATCTTAGCAATTTGCTTTCTAGGGCACCTTGAATTTACTTTTGCTAAATATAATATCAAAGTTGATACTATAAGTTTTAACTACCTATAAATCATACTTTCAATATTATTATCAATAAAGAATTTAAGATTACTAAAAGTGTTGATTATTATAAAACATAATATTATATATAGTGTTGTCTAACTTCACTATATTCAACAAGAATATTCTTAGATTTTCAATTCTTCAAGAAATTAACTCAAAAAATGGATTTATAGAGGGTTGGTATCGCTATACCTTATATTTTTGTTCGAGACACGGTAGCATTTCAAAGCACAGCTACATTTCTTTTTTTAAGGGTTTTCAACTAATAAGATCTTTTACATATGTAATAAAAGGTCAATTTTAGTAAAAAAAAAAAAAAGTTTGTATAACTAATAATTTTGAAAATAATGCCTATTTGCCTTGCCTTCCAAAGATTCGTAGGAAAATTATTTCCAAATTATATTGTTTTAATAAACTCCTATTGAAAAAGACTTAAATACTCTATTTTTAAAGCATAAGTACTCTATTTTTAAAGCATAAGTACTCTATTTTTAAAACATAAATTAGAGTGTTTTTATCCTTTATCATGGTGCTTTATTGAAATGATGTAATTTTAAAGTAATTTTTTCCTAATTTTTATGAGGTAAGGTTGTTAAGTACTAATCCCAATAATTGTTGTATTATAAACATATTTTATGCACAAGTGGAAACTTGGTCATTGGTTTTGTTTCATCCTAGTTACATTCAATCATAAAAGGATCTTTGACATCATTTTCTGATTTTGAATACAACCTATAATAATTAGCAATCAATTGATAGCTTTTTAATGTAATTTAAAAAAGTGTGTATCAAAGCAAATTATAGAGTATTTGTTATAATTTGAATTGATATGTATATATATATATATATATATATGTATAAACTTACATGGTTGGATCAACTCTGATTTTACTTCATTGATTTCAATTGTCTCAGGAATTTCATCTACTTGCATATGTTTCACACAACTGGATTTTGTTGTGCTTGTAAACTTATTTGTAGATCTTTGAAAATATTGTAAATATTCAAAAATGTCAACAATGTATAATATTATTAGCATGTGTTTAGCTCTTTTGCATGCAACTTCAGTGTATAAATAGAGAGTTTTATTGTTTATTGGAAGACAGATTAGAGTTGATTTGCAATAATGAAATGACCTTAGTTTAAATTACTGCTAGTGTATATCCCAAATTTTCGGGAATATTTAAGTGTAAGTTAAGGACTTGATTGTGAGAAAATATTATTTTGGGGCCTAATGTGAATATTTTAAAAGTTGAGGGACTTAAAGAGGGAAAAATTTTAGGATAAGGATCAGCTTCTTTACTTTTTCTCTTTCTTCTTTCTTTCCTTCCCAGCCTTGCGTGTTTCTGCTCTTCTTTTCTCCCCTGCAGCTCCCGAAATCCCCCCTCCAAGCCGCCGGCACCAGCTTTGAAAAATTTGTGAGAAAGCTTGGAATTTCTCCTTCTTTCTTGTCCAAGAACCTGATTTGGAACCCAGAAATCTTTCCCCCTTGCTGGAAATTCCAGATCTGCCTTGCTCTGCTTGTCTTCACCGTCGGCCGCTATGTGGGTGGGTGATTTCTGGGCATTTTTCAGTAAGAACAGCCCCTAATTTCCTTTGTTCTTGCTTGAATTGGCTTGGGTTAACTTTGATTGCTCTTATTTCCTTCAATTTTGGGTAGATCCGTGAGTTTCTCCCTTGCACTGCCGCCGGCTTCTTCCCCCTGTAGCTCCGGTTTCTACAGCTGGAGAATTATGGTATGTGACAGCCTTTTAAGGCGGAAATTGTCCATTTAGTTTGCTGGCTGTGTATGTCCGAATTTTGCTAGAAAAATGGGGAAGAAAATTGATAGCAATTAGACCATGATTTAGCTTGATTCAAGTGGGATTTATGTGATTGAGTGTTAATGGACTGCTATGTGATTTTTGGAGAAAATCCTGTGAGATTAGCTAGTGTTTTGGCCAATTTGTGAGAGTCGGGGTTACTGTTCACGGGTACTGTTCATGGGCACTGTTCACACCCCGAGGGCCAACTATTAATGGGGATTTAAGTGATTAGTTTGTGATATAAGAACGAATTTGGAGATATTTGATCATGTGGAGATTGATAGGAATAGCATCGGGATTAAGAGTGATCTTGATTTTTTTTAGTTTGAATTTGTGATAGTCCGGTATTAATTGTGGATATTTTGATTAGGTTTTTGATCGTTCTGTCAGTTAATGCGTGAATTGAGTGCTCGGTTTTATGCAAGTGAGGTAAGTAAATTATGGTAACGCCCTTTGATTTTAAAAGCATGTTTTGATTTGTTTTTGAAGTGGTGGCGGGACTAAACCCGTTTTACACGAGCATGACTAATTTGAAGTGAAATGTTTATGTTTTTCATTAAATTGAGCATGCCTACTTGAAAGTGATTGTGAACTGTCTTGATGATCTGAAAGTGATTGTGAATTGTGATTTTCCTGTTAATTTCTGCCTGTTTTGTCTCCGATGTGGTCATGTTATTCGTGACCCTGCTAGTGGGGGAGGTTATAAACACTAGCACATGTCGGCGCATGTCGATATGTTATTCGTGACCCCGCTAGTGGAGGAGGTTACAAACGCTAGCACATGTCGACATGTTAATGATAGAGCCGGTTCGTTCAACCCAGCTAGTGGGGGTTATACACCAGCAAATCGTGGCCCTGCTAGTGGGATTATACACTGGCCGTGACTTATAGAGGAGAAGTCTATTTCGTTCCCTGTATCTGTTTTGCGTGATTGCACATGTTGGCATGCTATAAGTTTAATAATGGGCACTCCATATTTACTTACTGAGTTTATCTCATAGTTTTTCTTTGTCCACCATTTCAGGAAATGAAACCGAGGACGGGGAAACCACGGGAAGTGACGAGTTAGAAGGCTAGCCATATTGTAATTGAACATAGATTTTATAATTTGATCTTCAGATTTTGATGGTATCAGAGTATGATATGAATAAGTTTCGAGCCTTGTGCATTTGTGAGACCCGTCTCACGAGTGCACAGCGTCTGTCGTGTCTCGAATTTGGGTTTTGGGGCGTGACAGCTAGACTAATAACTCTAAGTTAAGATTCATAGACCCTTAAAAACTTAAGTTCAAATTGTTAACAATAATTGGTTTATACACTTATATACCAATCATACTATACACTTTCATCTTGATGTAAAATTCGAGGTGCTATATTACAGTACTGGACCAATGGTTAGCAACCATACTAATCATTTGACTAGCTCTAATCAAGCCTATTTGATCACAAATTAATGTAATCTCACTCTCGTTCTTTGTTGATGTGAGATTTGCCAAAATTCAAGTTGTGCTAATATTTGTGTCGAATTTAATTTTGATATGCCAAAATTTAATTAAAATGTAAATTTAATTTTTACATACTTCTCCCTCAATTGATTAAATTGTTCGTTTTAATTTTGATGATGAAACTTCAATTAAATTTGTGAAATATTTAATTTCAAAGATTGGGAAATGATTATTTAATTTTATCTTTGAAATTTGAAATTGATTTTAAAGTTTTGGATGTGATTATTCAAATTCATCTTTGAAAAATCAATTTAAAACATCTCACTGTTATGGAAAGAAACATATATAACATATATATATTAATTTTTAAATCATGTTTATAAGATAAAATACCTTGCCTAACTATTGAATGAAATATATTTTGAAAATAAATTAAGTTTCCTTTTTAAAAGCCTTCCAAAATGCATATTTCTGCAAAAATGTGTAGAAAGAAACAAAAGGATTTAGAATTTTTTAAACTACCATTTGCAAATTCCCTTTATATTCAAAAAAAAGTTCTAACACCAAGAATAAGTGTAAGAACTTTTGAGGCTTGTTTTTTTTTTTTTTTTTTTTATGCTCATAGGACTTAATGGGAAACTTCTAATACCAAGCAAAAAGGTCCAACACTTTTATGAACATTTAACACCAATGATCAATAAATTTAAAAAGGGGTTTGAAACTTATGAAGAAGGTTTGGAACTAAAGTTTGAAAGATAAGTTATACATTCCAAATCAAACTTGATTCTTTTCAAACTTAGGGTAACAACTAAAAGCCTTAATTGAGCATTTTTGGAGAATAAATAGATGTCATTAGAGGTTGAACCATGGCAAGAGAAAAAAATAAGAGCCTTTATCTTTGAGAGAAAGAGAGTTACAACTTTTCATATTCTTTGTGCTTAAGTTTTTTTCATTCCAATCATCTTGCGATTATTGTTCTTTTTATTCTCTTTCATCAAGAAAGTGATAGAAGAATTGGGTAGCATTGTTAGATCTAGAAAAACCATCCTTGTGGTATAGGATTAAGTTTGTGAAAGATTATAAGAAGAGGTTAGTTTGTTGAAGGTGGATAACGTCGACAAAACAACTACAAACTATTTCCTCTACACTCTAGAAGTTGATAAAAAAGTTTTGAATTCAAAGCAAACTCTCAAAGCAAGTAGCTTAAGGACTAGACTAGTCACAAGTTATGACTGAACCATTATAAGTCATTGTGTTTAAGCTTTCTCTTCCTTTACTCTTTTAATTTCCACTCCTCAATTTATGCAATTGAGATTGCATGCATTTGATTATCGATTTCCACATAAAAATTGCATAAGTTTTTAACAACCTAATTCACCCCCCTTTTGACTTGCCATTATTTAGGCTAATAGTTTGCCCCACAATCATTCAAGAGGACATGCAAAGCTACGTACTTTGATGCCAAATGTAAATTTATAACATCCTGCACTACAACGCTTGAAAATCACTAATGATATTGTCCACTTTTGTTAATACAAGCTTTACTGTTTTAAAAGGCCTTAGTAGGATAATGGTGGGTTTGGACTTATGAACCCAAGTTCTCGTGTGTTTGGCCAATGTGGGGTTTGTCATAGGGCGCTTACTGTTGTTACCTCCTTATGTGATGGGTTACTACATTTGCTCCCCTTTTGGGACTTAGTATGCTCGTTAAACTTTGTCCCACCACCAAACTAAAGGTCATGTGAATTGCTCTTATCCCAATTGTCACATCACATGCCACAATGCTTGAATACTAGTAGTAATTTTGTAGAAGGCCTTACCACCATTCAAGAGTACATGTGGAGTTACTCGAATATCATTTGCAATGACTTGTAAATCATTGTAGATATTGTCTAGTTTGGCCCATTGGACTTCACAATTTTCACAATGCGTCAACTGAGTTAGAGGTGTTAGCCCTTTATAAGTCACTTTAAGAGTTCCTTTGTCACCAATATTTGA